TTTTTTTAGTAGCTAAAAACCATCCTACAAATTCACATGAAAGTGACCTCCTCTGATCTTTATTACAGGATGAGAAAAATGGACAAATGCGTTCTGGGATATCGACAGATCCGTGGAGGCCAGTCACACGTGACTGCACACTTCACATATTAACCGACAAATAAAGAATCCGGTTACGCATGTGAACAAAGCGCTGGACAAGCGCCGAAGTCTCTGGTTGGAAAATCATTGGCTGAGAACGCCTATTAAGTTAGCAATGGCCATTCTAATTTATCCAGTCTTACTGACTAATACTTCTTGATGAAGAGCCTACAACTGCAGATGACGGGATTACCTGTCACAGGGCGCACATTACCCATATGTGGATTAAAAAAAGCAGATTGAGATAAAACATGTCTGTACGATTGGTCTGTGCTATGGGCGATGCGCATTTAAGAATAAAACTGAAGAGTTAACAAAGACATAAAAGGCACCTTGTTCTGGTGCGAGCTTTTCCATGATTACTGAATCTGCGCCTTTGGTATAGAGGACGACCTCGTCTGTGCCTGGGTGACGCACTATAATCGACATGCATTTCCGAGTTGAGTCGAAGGGCAGGACGTGCAGAACCTGTACGCGAACCATTCCTTCACCTAACAAGGACAGTAAGAAGATGTGTTAGTGTTCGGCCAGACTGTCAATATCTACAGATCACTCAGGCAAGGAATAATCTTTTGATTGTCACGAACTGCCCCTGGGGTGGTAGGGCTCCCCGGAGTGAAATGACTGGCAGATGAGTTAAACGTCTTCGATTCTCCATATCAGTTTAACCAAGATTTCGCTCGATTACGAAAAAATAATAAAAAATGCCGCTTACATTTCAAAGTTTATTCGATTTTGGGTAACAAATTTTTGAAATGCAATGAGTTTGATAAGGTCTCGAGTGTGCATAATGAACGGTATCGGTGTCCTAGATTGAGACAGGTGAAAGGGAAATAAAGCATATCCCCGTATGACTGAGTGACAGTGACTGCGCGGTTGGAGCATTCATGGTTCTCGGAGAGACAACACTTAAATATGCCACAACAATAGTCAATGTCAGTGTTCCATTGCTTCCGAACTTAGTTACTTTCCTAACAACACATTCTTCAATTTCGTTCTGGTGATGTATATAAACAGTAGCTAGGGATGTGAATGTCAGTCCGAGTGTTGGTGTTTTGGAGCACATCCTGTGGTTAATTGTACGTCCGGTCGGTAAGGACATATTGAGGGTGCCGAAACGTAGGATTGCTATGTTAGCGTGTAAGGGTTCTTCAAATACATTAAAAAAAAAAATAGCTTACCCGGCAGCCAGAGAACGACAAAGTCAAGACCACGTTGGAGGAGTTTGCAGCCATAGGCACAAGCAGTCTTTGTGAGAGCAATCTCATCGGGACTCTCGGACTCGTAGCCATTAAGGAGGGTAGTCTCCGAGATGGGGCATACGGTCTTGGCTCCCGCATTCAAAGAACCATTTGAGCCGGCCACAGAGATGTCAGTACGGACGCTCTTCAGAGCATCAAGGCTGTCGACACTGCGAGATTCGTCCTGTGCCGCGGTTTTACCTTCCTCACCCGAGAGCACAGATTTCCTGCTTCGGAAGGGGTGCGCAGAGCTGTTTTCGGAGGTTGTGGCGACGGAAGATGGTTTCTGGTGAGGCAACTCATTTGGTCTTTGCACTGACGGGGGAATAGTGCCAGGGACGGAGAAAAGGGAGCCGCCACTGCTCTCAATTTCTGTCAAATCTAGGCCGGATTATAAAAAAAGCTAATTGGAGAGGTTGTAAGTTATTACACAGCGTCATGACGGAAAAGACCGTTGAGAGCCACAAAAAGGAACGCACAATATTTAAAGACATTTCCTCCCGTCGATAATACTGATACCAGTAGATAAACGAAAAAAAAAGCCGTAGTGCGTCAGCTTAAACCCAATAACTGGCCACTAAAACAGCGCTCTATCTGTTACGCCACTGAATCCCTGTAGAGAATTGAGATGTTGTCACGATGCTAATTCTGTCCTAGACAAATTAAAAGATTAGACCAATGCTTATCAGGGTTATTTAGGGTAGGATCTCGGGTCATTCATGGGATCTAAGAGGTGATACAGTAGTCGCCGGTTATTAAGCCCACGGTTAATAGGCCCAGCCG